ATTAAAAAGCAGAGAAATAATGAAAGTATTGTATGAAAAAAGGAAGTAATTTATGCTATCACACATATCAAGTATTATTATGGATTCTTTAATTTTGAAGATTTATTTTGGTTACTTCTCGAGCCGGTTGTTATTATTGTGATTATGAATGTGCCGAAAAAGTACTATTGGGAGCTGTAAAGAATGGCTACCAAGTTCACCGAATACTACTCACTTGTCAGATAGACCTATTGTCTAAGTCGTAAATGAGGACTCAGAATTTGATAAGAAGATAAGGGAGGATGTCTAGGCAAAAATCAAGTATCAGTAATTTTCCAGTTAAATCGTCGAAAATACGTATTTTGATAGCTCGTTATAGGCTGATTCAAACTATAAGGAAATTATTTTACTAACTGATTTATTTCTTAACATAAAAATTTCTTTTTCTGACAAAAAAATCGCGTCGGAAATACCGTACCTAATTCTCTTCAGCATCATGTTTACCAACTGCAGTAAATATTACACTTCCCCTCACTAACATCTCACATTAGGTAAATAAATATAAAACATTCGATATTATAATTAAATTTTATTTAGAGTACCTCCATTTTCGAATACTAGTATCTGACGATGTTCTGCTATAGGACAGCTTGAATCATACTTTTTAAACATTTATAACTCAAAAAGATTTGCTATCGTATAAAAACTTACACCTACTCCTAACATTGTTTCTTACACTTTGTCTACGTTACATATTTCCATAAATTAGGAACCCTTGATTATGGCAAAATGAATAGGATAGTCTCTATCTGTTCACACAATACTTCCGTTTACGACTCATTCAACGAATCGTACGAATTCTTTGTAAAAATTTTCATGAAAATGATTCGAATCATCTCAAAGTATTCGTCCGTTAATGCATAAATGCAAGGGAATGAAATTTTGAAATTCCGAAAAGCATTCGGCAATCAACTTAAAATGAAACGACAGGCATGCGAGTATTAACGACAGATTTATTAAGATTGATGATTTTTAGTACTCCAACGATCCAAACGATAACAAATCGCTTACGTCGGATTACACAATCGAATTACATAATATGCATTCTTTACAACAGAATTATGTGCCCCGTATGGAAAAATTGACAAGCTGTCAAAAATGACAGACGCAGAGACCAGATTACTGGCAACCTGCATTACAAGTACCATTAGGTATCAGATTATCAACGTAACGATTGCAATTTTCTCGAGGCTGTATATTCATCCAGTATCCATCTCGCGCAACATTGCCAAGCACGTTTACAGACAATTTCAAAGGTATCTCAGTTTTCGAGCAATTCTTCAGGTCGCAGCGAGCCAGTATATAGAAAATCATGACCTTCATCTCAATCGTCGCGAATCTGATTCCGATACATATTCTGGGCCCTATTCCGAACGGCATGTATGTCCCGGAACCCAGGATCCTTTTACCATCCTGAAGGAATCGGTCCGGGTCAAACTGGTCAGGATTGTCGTAGTACTTGGGGTCGGTTTGAATCGCGTGAACCGGGATCCACAAGTTCGTTCCCTTCTTGACAGTGAACGGTTTGCCACCGGGTACAGCTGGCGGCAATTCGAAATCCTTCGAGCACTGCCTGTCCAGAAAAATAACTGCCGGATAAAGCCTCAGCGCCTCGTTCACCACGGCATCCATGTACTCCATACCTGATATGGCCTCGTAAGTTATCTGTCCCTTCGTGTTCTCAAGAACCTCATCAACCTCCTCCTGCAATCTCTTCAGACATTCTGGGTTCGCTAGTAAATTATACATAACCATACTGGCTTGACTCGAGACACTATCGTATCCGCCGAAGTAGAAGCTGAAGGCGTTGCTGATCACGCTTCTGTCACTGAACGGCTTCTCGGTTTTGTTGTTCTTCTGGATGTCAAGCAGATGCTGAAGCATATCCGGCCGGTAGATGCCGTTCTCCTCCCTGTACTTCATGTTTTCCTTGATTGTGTTCCCAAAGAAGTCCTCGACGTCCTTTCCAATGAGCTTGATGTTAAGCAACTTCGAGATCGAGGTCATGTTCCTCTGTATCATGAACTTGATGCCTGGCAGGAATCCGTTGAAGCTCGTTGCCTTCTTCCCGTTGGCGTAGAGAGCGTTGTCCGGATCTTTGAAGGTATCGACGTCAAGGCCGAACACGCAGCTGGCGATCACGTCGTTCGTGTACTTCGTCATCACGTTCTTGAACTCCAGTTCGCTTCGCTCTTCTTCCGGCAGCTTGGTCAGATAGTCCGCGAAACGCGACGCGACCTGCGTCATCAGCATAAACATAGCCTTGATCTTGCTGGATGTGAATATGGGTGTCAGTTGAGCCCTTACGTCCTTCCATTCGTTGCCGCCCAAGACGAACAGCATCTTTTCAAACAGTGGATTCAGTTCCGCTGGTATGAAATCTCGATGTTCGGCGAACGAGTCCACGTTCTTAATCGCGACATTCTTGATGAGTTCCACATCCCGCAACACAATAATTGGTACGGAGAATTCATAGAAGCCGACGTACTTGGCGTCAGGGTTATGGTAGTAGGTCCTCTTTAGTACGTCCGCCATCGGTTTCTTCCGGAAAACGAACTGCCCCATGTTTCCGAGGAATGGCGTCGGCTTGATATGGTCAATGCCATGTTTCTTGAAATAGTTCAAGCCTCTGTAGGCGTAATAGTAGACTACCACCGCCACGGCTGCAAGAGCTACCAGAACCGACACGGCGTCCATTCCAGAGAAGCGAACGTTCAGACCGATGTCAATAGCACTTTATCAGGTGGAAGACTGGCTTCACCGAACGGCACGCACTCGTGGTTTATACTGGTATAATGAGTCAGTTCGCCCCACTCTTCCTCTACCAGCAGATCACACTATCGTTCACAAATTCGACTGTAGATAGTGTTTAGCGATAGCGGTTTTCATTCTAGAATCTGCTGGAACAATTGTCATTTGCTAAAGTCATCATAGAAAACTCGTTGTCGACTTTACGTACGAGTTAGATGTTGCAACTTGTTGCTATGTTTGTGTTGTTGTTTCGCAGTTTTTGTCGGAAATCGGAAGAAAGGAATAGAATAGAGAACATTTTTTGATCGGTATATAATTTTTAAATAAATAGTTAAGTTAGATATAGAATAATTTTAGAGGTCCTAAAGAAATTGCAACTGCTGATTGTTTACTAAAAGCTTTTAGTAAAATGGTGCACTTCTTATGATGGATGCTTTCAATGACCTAATAATTAGAAATATTAATATTAATTTGGTATTGCGTCAGTCTGAGGTTACCTCTTCAAAGATATCGATAAGAAAATAATGTCTTAACGTAACATCGTGATACGGCCTGTGAACATAATAAAATAAAGTAGCAATAACATAAAATTCTCTACATTCTTCACAATTTATTTCGTGCTTTGCTTGTACAAGGTGAAATCAGTGTGGAAACAAGCAGAGGAATAATGAAACTATTGTGTGAAAAACAGGAAGTAATTTATGCTATCACACATATCAAGTATTATTATGGATTCTTTCACCTTCAAGATTAATTCTTCACCTGCCGGTTGTTAATATCACGATGCCGAATGAGTACTTTTAGGAATTGCAAAAAATGACCTGTAACCACAAACAAAACGACATGAGCATCGAGAGAAACCGGTTGCTCGCTTCACCGAATCTCTCCCACCAATCAGATTCTGAGTCATCATGGTATAAGTCTCAGACAATGATGACGTTCAGGCAAAAATCAACTACCAATAATCTTCCAGCAAAAATTTCGAAAATACTCATTTTTGCAGCTTTTTTTAGGCTGATTCAATTTATAGAGAAACTATCTTAATTAATTTACAAGGAGATTTTTTTGTTAATATAAAATTTTCTTTTTACGTCAAAATTCGCATCAGAAATATCGTATCCGATTTTCTTCAGTATCATGATTACAAATTGCAGTACAAATTTCATGTCCCCTTACTGACAACTCTCATTAGGTAAATAAATATAAGACATTCGATATATTATAATTAAATTTTATTTAAACTACCTCCATTTTCGGATATTAGTGTCTGTCATAGGACAGCTTCAATCATATCTTTTAAACGTTTATAACTCCAAAATATTTGCTATAGTAAGAAAAATTACACCTACTCATAACATAGTTCGTACACTTTGTCTACGCAATATATCTCCATAAATTAAGAACACTTGATTATGGCAATATTTTTACGATAGTCTCCATCTGTTCACACAATACTTCCGTTTACGAATCTTTCAACGAACTGTATGAATTGTTTGCAACAATTTTTATGATAATGACTTCATTCACACCTTTTGATAATTCTTACGAGTTTCTCAAAATATTCGTCCTTTAATGTATAAGTGGAAAAAAATGAAACCTTGAAATTCCGACAAGCATCCTGCATCCAACGGAAAATGAAACGACAGGCATGCGAATATTACCGACAGATTTATAAATATTGATGATCATATTATTCTAATAAACGCAAGACTCAGATAACCGACATTTAAAGATAGCTGCTCCTAATATTCAAACAATCCAAACGACACGAAATCGCTGTTTATATATGTACCACAATCACATTACATAAGACGCATTCTGTACAACACAATTATTTGCCTCGTATGGAAAAATCGACAGGCTATCAAAAACGACAGACGCAAAAGCGAACGCGTCAGATTACTGACAATCTGCATTACACGTACCATTAGGTATCAGATTATCAATGTATTGATTACAATTCTTTCGGGGCTGAACATTCATCCAGTATCCATCTTGCCCAACATTAGCGAGCACGTTTACAGACAGTTTCAAAGGTATCTGAGTTTTCGAACAAGTCTTCAGGTCGCAGCGAGCCAGTATATAGAAAATCAACACCTTCATCTCCATTAACGCGAACCTGATGCCGATGCATATTCTCGGTCCTATTCCAAACGGCATGAACGTCCCGGAGCCCAGGATCCTTTTACCATCCTGAAGGAATCGGTCCGGATCGAATTTATCAGGATCGTCGTAGTACTTGGGATCGGTTTGTATCGCGTGATTCGGGATCCACAGGTTCATTCCTTTTTTGACAGTGAACGGTTTGCCACCGGGTACAGCTGGCGGCAATTCGAAATCCTTGGAGCATTGCCTGTCTAGGAAAATAGCTACCGGATAAAGTCTCAGCGCCTCGTTAACCACAGCATCCATATACTCCATAGCTCTTATCGCCTCGTAAGTTACCTGCCCCTTCGTGGTCTCAAGAACCTCGTCAACCTCCTCCTGCAATCTCCTCAGACATTCTGGGTTCGCTAGCAAATTATGCATAATCAAACCGACCTGACTCGCGACGCTATCGTATCCACCGAAGAAGAAGCTGAAAGCGTTACTGATTACGCTTCTGGTGCTGAACGGTTTCTCGGTTTTGTTGTTCTTCTGGACGTCCAGCAGATGCTGAAGCATATCCGGCCGGTAGAAGCCGTTCTCCTCCCTATACTTCATGTTTTCCTTGATCGTGTTCTCGAAGTAGTCCTCGATGTCCTTTTCGATGAGTCTGATGTTGAAGAACTTCGCGATCGAGGTCATGTTCCTCTGCATAATGAACTTGATGCCCATCAGAAATCCGTTGAAGTTCGTTGCCTTCTTCCCATTCAGGTAGAGAGTGTTGTCCGGGTCTTTGATCGTATCCACATCAAGGCCGAACACGCAGCTGGCGATCACGTCGTTCGTGTATTTCGTTATCACGTTCTTCAGCTCCAACTCGCTTCGCTCTTTCTCCGGCAGCTTGGTCAGATAGTCCGCGAAGCGCGACGCGACCTGCGTCATCAGCATGAACATGGCCTTGATCTTGCTCGACGTGAATATGGGCGACAGTTGGGCCCTCACGTCCTTCCATTCGTTATTGCCCAAGACGAACAGCATGTCTTCGAACAGCGGATTCAGTTCCGTCGATATGAAAGGTCGATGTTCGGCGAACGATTCCAGGTTCTTGATCGCGACACTCTTGATCAGGTCAATGTCTCGGAGCACGATAATCGGCATGGAGAATTCATAGAAGCCGACGTACTTGGCGTCAGGGTTGTGGTAGTAGGTCCTCTTCAGTACGTCCGCCATCGGTTTCTTCCGGAAAACGAACAGCCCCATGTTTCCGAGGAATGGCGTCGGCTTGATGTGGTCGATGCCATGATTTTTGAAATAGTTCAAGCCCTTGAAGGCGTAATAATAGACGACTGCCGCCACAACCGCGAGAGTTGCTAGTAGAACCGACACAGCGTCCATTCCGATTAGGTGAACGGACAGATCCACGCTATGTTGTGAGCTCTGCGATACAGGAAAGACTGACGTTACCGAACGGTTGCCACAGATATATACACGTTGGTACTTTCCAGGAGCGGATTGCAATATTCCAACCCCCCTCTTTTCCTGCGAGAAAATCGGAACATCTATCACCAATGCGTTTACCTATTTAATGACTATATTTAGGCATAAAGTTTAGCGATAGCGGTACTCGTGGAAGTTGCCAAGATATTCTTCAGCTGTTACTGTTTTTCTGGGAATCTCTTTATCAGTCTTATCTGCGGTGTAGATTCTACGTCTTGTTATAGTATGCTCGTATATTTTGCAACTACAGATCCTATTGCAAATGAAGCAGAGTAAAACAGTGGTCGGTTACCCATTTTAGTTTCTTGTTAAAAGCTTAATGACGGACGATTTTAACGAAAATATAACAGAGTATGCTTAGAATCATTTATATTTTTATTCAACAATTTTTTAAGTATATTTTTTATGGTATTCTTCTTAGCAGGTACGCGTTAGATTTTCTATAGGCTTTAATGAAATATGTGAAAATCTAAGTTATTTTCATAAATTGTACAGTTAAATACAAATATGTACACTCTGGTTCCAAATGGATCGGAGTTGCATCGTAAACTATGCACATTAGTGATCATCTCACCTATTCCAGTGAGCTGTTCATTATTCTGAACAGCTTATTCCTTTACTCGTCTTTGTTGATCAATCTTGTTTTCCGCGATATTTTTTAAAAAAACTACAGTGAAATATAGTCCAAGATATCAGTACATTCCAACGTATAGAGTTATCTAGGAGTTATATCTGGTACAGTTGCACCAGTACCAGATGGTATTTAGTATGAGGCATTAGCTATACAGTGGCCCATGAAAGTATTCGTACACCTTTTGAAACGCAATAACATTTTTAAAACTGGACTAAACGATTTGTTTGCTTTTAGATAATAGCGAGACTATAGCCTACTAGATAACAACTAAGATTCTTTTCCGACTTTTAATTGAGAATAACAAAAAAGGATAAAAAAGCTCATGTTTTATCTAAACTTATCACGAAAATTTAAAAAGAGAGAGAGTAAAGTTAAATTAAAAATTAGTCATTGTCATGATAAATACAAAAAACTTTATTATTATATCTAATATTCGATTATGAGAATAATAGGTTAATGCTTTTTCTAAAACAATTTCGAATTAACGTATTTCCAATACATTCATTTGTTTACATTGAATGTAAATGTTAAAAAAAGAATATGCACAAACAGACTAAATGAAAGAGTTGAGCATTGATGTTACAATTACAAAATTGTTCAATGATGTATGACAACAAACGTGTGAGTATATCAGTTAAGTACTATAAATTTTGTTCAGTGTGATCTCCATGAATAATGGATAATTCTCTTATTGGCTTCTACGAAGATTAACGTAGTAATTTTTTATAATATGTGGCAAACACTGTACTCTGTTACCAATAAATCTAGTCAAAATAAAGTTGCTGTAACGCGAAAATCAATACAGGTCTTCGAAAACTAGTTTTTAACAGTATTCCTGCATGCTCCAAATATAAATGTGCTCGGAGCAGTTTAGTGGACACTCGTTGTAAATATATGCAATTTTTTATGCGACATAATCGGCACCGAATCGGCACAGGAAATTGATTACAATGAATTCTTGACTAGAAAATGGAAATTTTATTTAAACTAACTTCATTCTTGGATACTATTGTTTTGCGACTGTCTTTCATCGGACAGCATTAATCATACTTTTAAACGTTTACAACTCAAACAGATTTACTTCCATAAGAAAACTTACGCCTACTCCTAACATTGTTTGGACACTTTGCCTACGTAATATATCTCAGTAAATAAGAAACGCTTGATTATGGAAATACTAGCAGTCTTTGTCCGATCGCACAATACTTTTGTTTCCAATTTCTCCTGCAACTCTTACAAATTAGTTGTCACATATTTTTATTTCTTTCTTTTGAAAATGGCACTAAACTTTCCGATCATTTTATTGAGTTTCTAAAAATTCTCGTCTGTTGATGAAGAAGTGCAAAAGAATACAATTTCGATATCCTGATAAATGGAGGAGGAGTGCAACGATGTACCCGACCGAAAATTAAACGAAAGGTAAACAAGTATTGGCGAAACGCAAGACTCAGACAACGTATGGAGCAAGGAAAACTGCATCCGGTATTTCCACGAAACAAACGTTTTGAAATCTCACACAGTCATTTACATACCACATTCGCATTACATAGAACGGGCGATTTTCTTGCTGACAGAAGCTACACATTCTTTACAGTACGATCATTTGCTTTGTGATAAAATATCGACAGGCTATCAAAAACGACAGACGCAGCGGCAAAAACGCCAGCTTATTCTGCGTTACCCGTATCATTAGGTATCAGATTATCAGCGTATTGATTACGATTCTTTCGGGGCTGAACACTCATCCAGTATCCATCTTGCGCCGCATTGCCCATTATGTTCACAGACATTTTCAACGGTATCTGGGTTTTCGGACAATTCTTCAGGTCGCAGCGAGCCAGTATGTAGAAAATCCACACCTTTATTCCTGCCAGAGCGAATCTATTACCGATGCACATCCTCGGCCCCACACCGAACGGCATGTACGTCCCCGAGCCCAGGATCCTTTTACCATCGTGGATAAATCGGTCCGGCTCGAATTTATCAGGATTGTCGTAGTACTTGGGATCGGTCTGAATCGCGTGACTCGGGATCCACAAGTTCGTTCCCTTCTTGATAGTGAACGGTTTGCCACCGGGCACAGGTGGCGGCAATTCGTAATCGTTCGTGCATATCCTGTCCACGAAAATAGCTATCGGGAAAAGCCTCATCGTCTCGTTCACCACCGCGTCCATGTACTCCATACCTGATATGGCCTCGTAAGTTACCTGCCCCTTCGTGTCCTCAAGAACCTTATCGATCTCCTGCTGCAATATCGTCAGACAGTCAGGGTTCGCTAGCAAATTATACATAATCAGACTGGCCTGACTCGCGACGCTATCGTATCCGCCGAAGTAGAAGCTGAAGGCGTTGTTGATCATGCTTTTGGTGCTGAACGGCATCCCGGTTTTGTTGTTCTTCTGGACGTCCAGCAGATGCTGAAATATGTCCTGCTGATGGATACCGTTCTCCTCCCTGTACTTCATGTTGTCCTTAATTGCGTTCATGAAGAATTCCTCGCTGTCCTTTGGGACAATTCGGGCATTCAACAATTTTGCGAGCGTAGTCATGTTTCTCTGCAGAACGACCTTAGTTATCGAAAGAAATGTGTTGAAGTTCGTCGCCTTATTACCATGCTCGTAGAATGCGTTGTTGGGGTCTTTGATGGAGTCGACGTTAATGCCGAAGGCGCATCTGGCGATCACGTCGTTCGTGTATTTCGTTAACAGGGTCTTCATCTCTAGCTCGCGTCGCTCTTTTTCCGGTAGCTTGGTCAGATAGTCCGCGAAACGCGACGCAATCTCTGTCATCAGCACGAACATACCCTTGATCTTGCTCGACGTGAAGACAGGCGTCAGTTTGTTCCTTACGTCCTTCCACTCGTTGCCTCCCAAGACGAACAGCATATCCCGAAATATAGATTCCACTTCCAACGATATGAAAGGTCGATGTTCCCCGAACGATTCCATGTTCTTGATCGCGACTCTCTTGATTAGGTCCACATCACGCAGCACGATGATGGGCGTGCTGAACTCGTAGAAGCCGACGTACTTGGCTTCAGGGTTAAGATAGTAGGTTCTTTTTATTAAGTCCGCCAGTGGCTTCTTTCGTAAAACGAATTCTCCGATGTTACCGAAGATTGGCGTCGGCTTGACATGATCGATGCCATGTTTCTTAAAATAGTTGAAGCCTCTGTAGATGTAGTAGTAGATGGCTATCACCACGGCCCCGACAGCTAGCAGTACAGATACAGCGTCCATTCCTGTGAAGCGAACTTTCAGGCAGATGTTGATAGCACCTCGTCAGATGAAGCACTGACTTCGATGAACGGTAGGCACATGTATTTCTATTTTCCAGAGCGACTTATAACGATTCACAATACTCCCACTCATTCCCCACCAGCGGATCATACGAATATCGACAAATTCGACTGTAAATAATGTTTATCGGTTTTTACTGTAGAATCTGCTTGGACAATCTTTATTTGCTACAATCTTAATAGAAAACTTGTTGTTATATAGGCCTTATCTGCTGATTAGATGTTGCAATTTGCTGCAATTTCCGCGTTGCTGTTTTACAGTTTCTGTTGGTAGTCGGAAAGAAATAAGTAGGAAACATTTTATTCCTGTATACAGTGGCGGCCATCTTCTACTTAGGGATACTTGAAAAACGGTATAACTTTCTTTAACGTCTACTAAATGATGTGAATTCTTTTTCAGGTGACAAAGGGACTATACTATTAGACTAGTTCTAAATTTTGCTATTATTTCGAATGAGAAAAACGAAATAAAACTCATGTTGTTCCACTTTTTATGTTGACTTTGACATGAGCTGTGAGGAATTAAAGGTCGCGAAGAAAAATCGCAGTTTTTTTCGAATTTCAACTAAAAACAGGTAATTCTTGCATCTTTCGTTATAGGCTCAGATCAAATAGTCGAAAATATGAGTTTTTTAATGTTTGATGTCATTTCAAGTAACAGGAAACTTTAGGAAACGTATTCTAGTCACTGTCTAATAGGCTAAACCTTCTGTCATTAAAAAAAGATTCAAGTCATTTAGTCGTAAAATTACAATTACTAATATTAATTTTGAATTGCACCATAGTCCATTCTTATCTCAAATTAGCTTTTTCATTTTAAAGATTATGTCTTGTTAATCCACGTGCCGATTGTTATTATCGTGATTATAAAAGCGTCAAATAAATATCTGAGGCATACTTGCTGGCGAAGGCAATGACATGGTAAATTTGTGCGATATACAATCAATCTGATAGACAAGCGGTATTGTCTGTATTGTTGGACCTACAGTTATTCACAAAAGTATTCATACACCTTCTAAAACGGTAAAGCTTTTTGAAATCTGGATTAAACGTCTCGAATGTCTAGGAGATGCTAGAGGGACTGTTTTTTACTGTACAATGCCTAAAACACTATCTTGAAATTCTCGTTAACAAAAATTTAAACAATACATTTTGTAGATCGATTTTATCAAAATCGGTTAACGCATCGTACAGTAAACAGGTCCCTCTAATATCTCCAAAAATTCAAGTCATTTAATCCAGTTTTAAAAATATTATATCATTTTTAAACGTGTACGAATACTTTTGTGGCCCACTGTATTAGATAAATGCTGATAGCTATACGAACATAGATAAGATAGTTACGATATTACATATTATCGATATTACACATTATTGCACCTGTCAACGAAACACCGATGTAATCAGATGCTTCTCTTTCCGTGGCAATCGTATTTCATTATATTGCGACATGCTGCTACAACAAAGTCTTTCAAAATGAGATAGTTACGTAAAATCCACGAGGCTTTACTTTATAAACGAATCTTACATAAAAGCGTTTCCCTTTCGATTGAAGTGCGAATCTTCTTCATTGAAAATATCTCCGGCTGAGATTTTAGCCTGCACTTTTTCGCTGTAGATTCAAGTAAACATCAAGGCCTATGCACAATGAGAAATATTTCTTTTTTTAGAAAAATAAATCGTACTATCAAGGCTTACCGCGAAATTCCATTCAGATTACCATTTTTCTAGGCGTGATACGCACTCGCGGGGAATTTAGTGCAAAATAAGTCCCTCCTTTAAAAGGGCTCCCGTCGGAAGAAAAATACGCGCGTTTTCATTCAACCGTAAAAGCTTCCCAGAAAGAAAATTCGCCATCTTTCGAATGGGGAAATTCTACGAAAATGTGGCCAATATTCCTCAGTTCCATTAGCTTTAAAATTCCACCATATTTTTTTGGGTCAATGGCTTTCACGAAGTAGACGCGATCGCCGAGAGAAACATTAGTGTGGCATCAAGCCCGTACTTATGAATAAAAACATAAGTATAAAACCCAATATAAACTTTTAGTACCTTGAAACTTTTACAGCAAACGTAACTAATATTTTATTTTCTTGCTCGAAGGATTTACGATCTTTGGAAGCGCTGAGTATATGGAAACAAAACTCACGGTTGACTTTCACCTATCTTATTGGGGTCCTATTCATTTTCAATCCATTCTAAAATTCATAAATCATTGTGTATTATTAATATAGTTGATAGTTTTGATTCTAATTTGGCAATTTGATTTTATACTTTTACTAGAACATATACATGTAACTATGTGATCCTTAATATTTAAAACAGACATTGTCTATTATTTATATAATGTTCAAAATTCTTCTATCTTAAGAAGCTTAGAGTAATTAAAAAATTAGTACTGAAAATTGCAGAATTCTTTCTCGACGATATCTTAAGAATTTTTATAATCCCCTTATATTCTTATGGAATTACAGTATTTTCGAGTAACAACAAATAGAAATAAATAAACAAAATTACATAAATTTTTTGTACGTCATTGTAAATAAACGACTCGGCAGTCAACTCCACTTCGGATAAAGAATAGTCTTGGCATAATGCACGTTCCCAGCGAAAGAATTTGTACCACCGCATCGGAAAATCTAGTTTCTCATTCTGAACTTCTGAGAAGTAAATTCCTAAACATTTCTTTCGCGATACGATCGACTTAAATTAGATTCTCCAAAAAATGACGAACATCTAACATCGAAAAATAAGCAAGAGTTCGCGATTCGTTTCGGGTTTATTAGTACCACAGGCAACTCCGAAATAAAAAAGCGAACACCGCTAAATGGTAGACTGAATCTGGAGAAAAGAGGTTGCTGCAAATAACTCTCGACGGCTACGAAGCTTTTGATTTTATAGGAGTACCATCGGCAACATCCAGGGTTACCCTTGTCTTACCCGCAGTCTCTTTTCTCTACCGCTGAGCGGTTCGATCAACCAATACAGTGGCTCCATTCAAACGATACTCAGGTAATCTTTTTCTCTTTCTTCCGGCCGGTGAAATTAGCCCGTAGTCAATTGCGGCTATAGTCCCGCGGGTTATTTGGACGTCTCTCTTAAGTGGCGCAGAACGTCGCCTCAGATCCAGGATATTGCGAACGATGGGATCAACGTACGGAAACAAAGCCGGGCACTTAGCGGCAAATTAGCGATGGTTTGGGGCGCCACTGTCGCTCTTCATTACACCGACACCCTTGCACGCCCACCGCCCGACGTCCCCTATCACCCGCGGTAACCCTCTTAACATCCTGCAGACAATGCAACCGCCTATCTTCCTGCCTACATCAACGAATTAAATCTCCGCTATGACGAAAAATCGCTTGGAACGCTCGGTAATCACTTAATTACTACCCCGACAGCTGCCTCTACCCCTTGCCGCCGTTCGCCCCCGATTCCATCCTCGAGAATCGCGTTAACAACCGTCGATTGGCGAAATCTGATTTTAAACTGACCGACCTCCCTTTGGTTCCGTTGGATTTCGCGCAGCATCATGAGTCTTAGCATTCTGCTTAACAGTGAAACCCTGAAAATTGATTTATTTATTTCGGTATTAAATGGTACAAGTTTAGGTAGATACTGTGGGAAGACCAATTACTGTGCCTTTGGTTCGTTTTCGGAGATAATTAACTTTATATTTATCGAATAAGATATATTCAATCTTTTTAGTCTTTTATTTTGTTTAGTTTTGAATCAAAAAGTTCAATATGTGATGGCATATTGAAAAGTTTAATAGAGAAGTACACATTATTCGTATAAAATCACGATGTCTCTTGGTCTAATAACGGTAGATGCAAAAGTAGTGAGTACAATGTTTGTAAGTTCTCTTTCCTTCAGTTAAATATACACAGAACATGTTCGATCAAAATCGCGAGTATGATTGTTGAAAGAATTACTCGGGCGTGCGTTAAAAATGCAAAGTTGTATCGCGTTTGGTAAATATGGTGAAGGAGATAACGATATTCGAAGAAATGTTTGTCAAATGTGATGAATGTTTTATCAGCAAATATTAAATAAGTACAACACTAGAACAAAATTAAAAGAAGATATTTGATTAGTACGGCACAATAGTAGGATCGTTTTAATGGATTGAACGTTGAATACGATGATGGTGATTGCTAACAGAGTTTGTTCATCGTTTAAGAATGATTGATAATTTTCTCTCATCAATGTTAGGTTTCCTCATTCTGTAGAGAATGTTGTTAAACAACAGACATATTTATATCGCTTAATCTTTATCCGTAAGTGCGGATCGTTTCGCAGAAATCAGAATTAAAAACAAATTTTCATCAAATTGAAATGTCTCGTAAAAATAAGATAGCACGTCCTCTATCATTACTAATTAAGTAACTGTTCCGTTATACGAACCCTGGCGTTCTCTGATCAGTTCGAATAACTGAGACTCTGCCGTTCTCGTATACCACGTATAGCCAGCAACAGGATTCGACTGTGGAACAAACACGGTCGCTGGCCGAGCACTTGGTAGAAAGATCTCGTCGGCGTTGGCCGACGATCACCTTTACATTTTACATCGATATCGTCACGATTTATTTCCAATTTCCGATCCAGAGGGGTGTGCTGCACAGACATGGCTTTCCTGTCTCGGAAATTGAAGGAAACCGAAGAATGAGGGTTCGGTGGAGGGAAGCGAAGCAAGCTCCGAAGGTACCAGGTACCGAAAGTGGGATGAAGGCCGCGGAGGGTGGCAGAAAGTAGGAAGGCTCGTGTAACAGACTCCATTGTTAGAGCTTATTCAGAATCTGCCAATAGCCCGGGATTCAATTTGACTGGCGAACCATGAACGGCATTTAATATACAGGAGGTTGGAGAGCATCGGGGAACACCTTGGTGTTTCGGCTATCGGACGAAGACGCGGAACGCATTAATAGATGAAAGTACTTCCACGAAATTCGATAATAATCTCTCCACGTACAGCAAATTCTCCCTAATTGACGCTCAGCTTGTG